TCTGAACTCATTTTGCTACTTGTACGTGCATCTAAAATTATTTCAAAATCAAATTTAAAAATAAGTAAGTTAAAGCATGTAAAAAGAGTGCAAACATATTTATGAATACACAGGAAAAAATTAGAAGAAGTTATTCCATATGTTTTAGGTCATGGAATTTTTAGGTAACGTTTTTTTTTTCTTCTTCTTCTTCTTTTTCTACTTTTCTGGGTTTGCAACTGGAAGTCTCTTATCACAACTAGGGAAAAAAGCACTTACTTTTATAAAGTCCCCTGCTACTTTTCTGTGACATGTAGAAATATGATTCTCTTTTTTTGTATTCACGGATCAAAGCAGAGTCATATCTTAGTAGCTCCAACATCACCAAATTCCCGGTGTATTACAGCAGCAAATACACTTTTGTTCAAGAAATTATAATCACCATCTCCATAATCAGCAGTGAGATTGAAACCAGACACACCAGTTGCTGGCAAGGAAACAAAAGGCTCTGGTCACTGCTCATACTATAGCCTGGGCTGGGAAGAACGTCACCGCCATGAATAGACTAATGTGGCTTTGTCGTGGAGCTATCAGAAGGCTTTTTTATAAAATTCAATCACAATACTGACGCTCTGGTATCTTTCATCAGATTATTCCATGCTTTTCCTGAACACTCACCCTGGCCATTCCCAGAATTCCAGAGAAAGGTCTTCTGTATAAGAAAAGTATAACAATGTTGAGACCAAATCTTCCAGCTAGCTCACTCTTTGGGGTTGGATTGTGTCTCCCCAAAAGTCCTAACCCCCAGTCCCTCAGAATGAAATCTTACTTGAAGAAGGAATTCTGTTATAAACTGACTGATTCCCCACCCAAATTCATATTTTGAAGTCCTAACCCCCAAAAAATAAGTCTAGTAGGATGTGGGATATTGGGGAAGGAATTAGGATTAAAGACTGTCATAAGAGTGGAGCCCCAATGATGGGATTAGTGCCCTTGTATGAGAAGAGACCAAAACTTTTTCTCTCTCTCCCATGAGGACACAGCAAGAAGGTAGCTGTTGGCAGCCAGAAGGGCCCTCACTAGAACCTGATCATGCCAACACCTTGTGTGTGGACTCTCCAGCCTCTGCCCAGTCTGGGATATTTTGTTATGGCAACCAAGCTGAGACAGCATCATATTATAGAAGGTTTAAGATGAGGTTTTCAGGGTGGATCTAACCCAGCATGACTAATGTCCTTACAAAAAGAAATGTGGACCCCAGACACAGACATGCACGGAGGGAAGAGGCCATGAAGAGAGGAACAGCGGCATCTAGGAGCCAACGAACTCCTGAGGCTCCAGGAGCACCAAGAAAGGCCTGCAGCAATCCTCACTCACAGCACTCAGAAGGAACCAACCCTGCTGGCACTGTGACTCTGAACTTCCAGCCTCCAGAATTGTGAGCCAGTACTTTGCTATTGCTTAAGCCACTTAGCTTGTGCAGCTTGCTTTCAGAAGCCCTAGTAAAAGAGACTTCTTTGTATCTTTCAAGCCGGATGCTCTCCTGACAAATCCACTGCTGGCCACGGAAGGGTAGACCTTCAGAGTCAGCTCTTGTTAAAGTCTCCTTCCTAAGTGCAAATCTGAAAATCACAGGTACTTTTTCACATGTGCCTCAGAGACACAAATACATCATCTGTGTTCCTCTAGCCCCTCTGACTTACTACTTTCAAGCCTGTGGATTGCTTATCAGAACAATCTGGCTCCTAAAACTGCACCTACCTAGAACACCTGCCCAGTTCTAGCTCCTCAGAGCTTGTAGCACAGACCACATACCTGATAACCTTGAGGACTAAAGGGTAGAAGGATATGTGGCCCTGTGTGGACTTTCCAAGAGATGATTACACAACCTCACACGATGCCAGATTAAGGTGCCAAGTCACCGTCCTGGGAGACAGGGTTGGTGGCCCAAGGCCACAGCTTGTGGCTTGGCCCATAATCAAAGGAATTCACAGCCCATACACCATAGTAGGAGAGGTAGTTGATGGCTACAGATGAGATCACAAGTTCCAACATAGCTTAGCAATGTGAAAAACTTATAATACTCACATCTTCAAGCCTTTACCTTCCCAGCATAGCAGATGGGGGACCCTCAGCCTTCCCTTCCTGGATTCTGCTGAGTGGGAAGTCTGAGATCAAGAAACTGACAGTTTGGTTTCTCCTGAGGCTTCTGTCCTTGTGAAGATGGCTGTGTTCTCACTGCGTGTTCACATGGTCTCCTCTCTCTCTCTCTCTCTCTCTCTCTCTCTCTCTCTCTCTCTCTCTCTCTCAGGACGCTAGTCCTGCTGGATTTAGGGCCCTACATTTATGATCTCATTTAACCTTCATTACCTTTTTAAAGAACATATCTTCAACTATAGTCACATGGGAGGTTAATACTTCAACATATGAATAGGAGCAGGTGTGGACACACAATTAAATCCATAAGAGAACCCAGTGAAAGAAATGAAAAATGCCCATTCTATTGGCAATGAGGAAGGCCCTGGTGATGCTGGAGAAAAATTAACATCAGGTTGTAGAAGAAAAATCCAGAATGCTGAGGGGCAAGATAAATTGCACCCCATTAAGAAATGGAGATAACAATTTTGATTTGATACATTTCAGTTTCCATGTTTTCAATATGTTTGCCTAAGTCTGGATGAGAAGAGAAAGAGTGAGAATAGATTCAAGCTAAAATTGTAATGGGTCAGATTGGGCAGTAGTGCAGTGGATTATGTCCTTTATGAGGACTCCACAGTAAAGCTTTGCAGAGAATTCCTGGGGTACTTCCTTGCTAGAGAACATACAATATTTCTAAGGACAAAATAGACATTTCAGCTCTTCGGACCAAGACTGTTTGTCCATCCACTGACCTGGACTTCTGTGTGATCACAGACGTATCTGGAGTGACCCGTGGAAGGCCAAGACTGATTTGAACAGGAATTTCTGCCAACACCAGGAGAAAAGTGTACTGCTTCTAAAGTGATGGTTGTTCCAAGAGCAAAGAGTCTCAAAGTTTGTACAAAGTAAAACAATGAGCACGTAGGACATCTGACATGTTAAAAAGGAACATTTGGAGCAAAAGCCAAAAATGGATGGCAAACATGAGAGTGAGGGGTCATCATTGTCACAGAAGGTTTAAGCAAGGAAGGAGAGGTTTGTCAGTGGAGCACACAGGAGCTGCCTTGTCACTCACAAGAGCAGGAGACATGTTGAAAGGGTCAGCATGCTGGACAGTGAATTGTGAGCACGTGCTGACATGTTATGTTCAGATAGACACAAACTCCGACACCAGGGACATTTCTGTGAAAATTTGCCAAGGATTTTGAATGAACTTAAACTAAGAAGTCTTGGCATTTGCTCTGCTTCTTCAAGGGAGACTTGAAAAAATAAAAAGCATGCATGTTTTTGAGAAAAACCATGGAACATGGGGTTTCTATTATGACCCAGGACCAAAGCATCTATGTTTTGCAGAGATACAGAAAAAAACAGCCAGTTCAAAACCAAAAGTAGTGAATGCTAATTTGTTTCCTTAACATCAGTAACATTGCTCCTGTTCGATTCATCCCACAAAAGCAGAGTTGATCAGATTATTTTATGCATAAATACTAATATAATTGGTAAGTGTTACTATTTTTAGAACTCTGGCTATAATTTGCTTTTCAGCAGAGACAATGCTTTGGCTTGCAGCTTGCTTTCTGTCCCACAATTATTGGTGAAAGATGATATTTAATGTACTTGATTGCAAGTCTATTTTACCAGATATGATTCCAAATGACTTTCTCTTTTTAATATATTTTTAAAATCTATCCACAAAGGAATGGGATTTGCCATTGTTGGTAACAGCCAAAAGAACATGATAAATGAGGGCTCCTTGGAGAAGTAACTAATTCTAGGGTCAGGGCACAGAAAATAGCAGATGAACCTGAAGCATCTGGTAGTGCCAGGAGTTAAGGAAGTACTCAAAAACCAAAGGGAAAGGCGGGTGAAAATGGACCCAGGAGCCAGCCTGAACGAGTTCCCAATGGCCAAAGCTAGAACAATCTGAACCTCAAAATAAATAATGCTGTATTCGATTATAACCCAAAGTATAAAATAGATACCCATGAGTCTATATTGACACAAATATGTGGCTATGTAAATAAAGTCATGAGGTGGGAACAGACACATCATTTTTTAAAAAAGAATTTCACATGATATATATAAATAGGCTCCCCTTGTCTGGGAAGATCCATCTCCTCCCCATCGCTTTTGAGAGTGAGCTAGATTTAGTGACTTACTTCTAAAGACTAGAGTTGAAAAACGGAAAAATAAGAGCTTTCCAGTGGAGAGAGCTGGCAAACTTTACCTTAAATTGACGAGAGGATAAGGGTTTACATCCTAAGCGATATCCTGTAGCTCATGTGGTGAGAAGAGCACTTTGCCTCTGTGGATTTCTTTACAAAAACAAACAAACAAAGCAAACAACTCCAGTCTGATCATGATGTGATTTTAACAGTGGGGAAGACGGGGTGAGGAGTATCTGAGAACCTCTGTACTATCTTTGCAACAATTTTACAAATGTAAAATTTCTCTACAAGATGAATTTTGTGTTGGTCAGCTTCCCATTGCTGTAACAAACACCTGAGATAATCTATAAAGAGAAAAGGATGGTTTGAGGTCATAGTTATCAGTTCCAGTCCATGGCTGATGGGTCCTGTTGCTTTGGGCTGAGGAAGTACATCATGATGAGAATGTGCAGCTGACCAAAGTCTTCTAATAATCAGAGGCAAAGAGAGACAATGGGTCCCACAGATCCCTTCAGGGACATGACCGCAATGACCTAAAACCTCCCACTGGACCCCATCTCTTAAATTGCCATCACCTCTCAAGAGAGCCAAAGGCTGGGGGTAAGCTTTCCAAGCATGGGCCTTTGAATGACATTTAATGACATTTACATCCAAACTACAGTAAATTCCAAGGGTAAAACAGAATTCCACAGAAGCACTTTGAAAAATACTCACAACACTAGCTATGCAGTATCTCAAGGGGATGAATGAAATTCCATTTTTTGTTTCGGGGTTGTTTTGGTGTAGAATCTCTCCCCTTCACCCTATGAAAGAACACAGGAGGATCGGGTCTCAGGGAGTGCGTGCTCCGGGTTGGGACATACTGAATTGGATGTGAGATTTCTGTGGTATGTAGTGAACGTGCCTGATGCTGTTCTGGAGATATAGTTTGGGGATCAAAAAGATGTTGACAATCTATGTCCTGAGGGAGAATCAGGGGTCACATCAAGATTTCATAAATGCCCAGCACAGCGTTCCCACGATTAAGCTCCCACCCCAGTCGTCCCACTGGTCTTTCTGGTTCCAAGTCCATGTCAGGAGCTCACCAGACCGTGAGCCTGGCTCTGCCTTCCTAGGCTCTGCCTTCCTCAGCGCTGCCCCCACTTCCAAGTCAGGGCCAACCAGAAAGAAGCCAAGTAAGATCTGCAAACTACTCACATGACACTTCCTACTCCAAGTTCAGCGCCTCCAGCTCACGCACTCCAACAGCCTCCACGCAGAGCTCACCCAGTCCCTTCTCTCTCCCACCACACAGCTCCCTTCTCCTTCGCCTGCCTTGGCGCCTCTGCCAGGTTCCGCGACTGTGGCTGACACCCCACTGCATCCAGTTCTGAATGCACCGCCTGTCTGTTCTCACTGGGCAGGCGTTATTTCCATATCTGGGGACTGTGGGTGTATTTAGTTTGCTAGAGCTTCTATAATAAAATACCATACTGAGTGGCTTACACAACAAATCTATTTCCTCAGGGTTCTAGAGACGAGAATCCCAGATCAAGGCATTGGTTGATTGGGTTTCTGAGTCCTTTCTCCTCGATGAGCAGACAGCTACCTTCTCACTGGGGCCATACTTGGTCTCTTCTCTGTGTCCTTGAATCCCTGGTGTTTCTTTCTTTTTTTTTTTTTTTTTTTTTTTGGTTTTTCTCCGGTACCAGGAACCGAACTCACGACCTTGCGCTTGCCAGGCAGGCGCTTTTTGCCGCTGAGCTAAATCCCCAGCCCCCTGGTGTTTCTTTCTGTATACCGAAGTGTTTTCTCCTTTTTAAAAAAATTAAATTTATTGGTACATTTTAGATATACATAATGGTCATACTCATCATACAGAATTTGTACCTGTACATGATATATTTCAGTTTTTCTGTTTTCCCAATCCCCTCTGCTCCGTTCAACTCTGCTTCCCTTCCCTATTTACAAAGCTTTATTTCCCATTTTATGCTTTTCTTCATTATCATTTTTTCCTTTTCCCTTCTTTCCATTCCCCCTTCCCCTTTCCTAGATCCTCTTTCCTTTTGAACAGTTTCTTCCCATTTCACAGTATCTATTGTACATTTTGGTCCTTACTTACCTGTTCAGTTTCTCACACCAGGGAGACAATGTAATGTTTACACATGTGTGTCAGATTTATTTCATTTGACTGTGTGATCTCAGATTGCATCTATTTACCTAGAAATGCCTCAAGTTTATCCTTCTTTATGGCTGAGTAGTTCTCCATTGTATAAAAAATGCATCTTTTTTATCTGTTCCTCAGTTGATAGGCATTTGGGTTGTTTCCAAAATTTAGCTATTACAAACTGTGCTGCTATATACATGGGTGTGCTTATATTGTTGTGGTATGGTGCTTTTAGTTTTTCTGGGAAGAAACCCAGAAAGGGTATAGGTGAGTCAAATGGCACATCTAATCTTAGTTTTTTGAGGAATGTCCACACTGATGTCCACAGTGGTTCCACCAGTCTACACTCCCACTAACAGTGGAGAAGGGTTCTTTTTTCCCCACAGCCCTGCCAGCATTTGCTATTGTTTGATTTCTTGACAATAGCCATTCTTTCTGGGGTAAGATGGAGTATCAGTGTTGCTTTAATTTGCATCTTTTAGATGATCAGTGATGTTAAAAATTTTTTTCATATATTTATTTGCTGTTTGTATTTCTTCATCTGAGAAGTGTGTATTCATCTCAGATACCCATTTTTGGATTTGGTTTTTTTAATTGGGAGGGTCTATGGCCATACCACCCTGAATGTGCCTGATCTCATCTTTATATGGGGAGGGCTGATTTTTTTCAATTCTTTATATGTTCTAGATATAAGTCCTCTGTCTGAGGGACAACTGGCTAAAGTTTTCTCCCATTCTGTGGGTTGTCTATTCACTCTGTTGGTGATTTATTTTGCTGTGCAGAAGCTTTTTAATAAGATGAGATCCCCCTTGCCTACATGTATGTCCTCAAGAGTTCCACCTATTCTCTTTCCCAGCAGATTTAATGTTTCTGTTTTAATATTTAGATCATTGATCCGTTTTTATTTTAGTTTGGTGCATGATGATATATATGGGTCTACTTTTAGTCCTTGGCATGTGGAAAGTCAGTTTTTCCAGCACCATTTATCAAAGAGGTCCTCTTTCTTCCAGTGAATGTATTTGGCTTCTTAGTGAAAGATAAGGTGGCTAAGTGTGTCTGGAGTTATTTCTGTATCTTCTAATCCATTCCATTGATAACCAGGGCTACTTTTTTGCCAGTACCATGTGGTTTTTATTATAGTAGCTTTGTACTATAATTTCAACACAAGAATTGTAATGCTCCCACCTTACTTTTGCTTCTGAGAATTGATTTTGCTATTCTAGGTCTCTTCCAGTTCCAATGAATTTTAGGAATGTTTTCTTTATTCCGTGATGTATACTAATAGTATTTTGATCAGGATTTCATTAAATCTGTATAACAATTTTGGAAGTATGGCCATTTTCACTGTGTTGGTTCTTTCTATCCATGAGCAAGGGATAGCTTTCCATTTTCTGATATGCTTTTTGATCTCCTTTTTCAGAGTATTGTAATTTTCAATGTATAGATCTTTTACTTCCTTTATTAGAATGATTCCTAAGTATTTAATTTTTGTGGGGAGAGCTATTATGAAAAGTGTGGTTTCCCTAATTTCTCTCTCAGTGAGTTTTTTGTCTGTGTATAAGAATGCTATTGATTTTTGATGGTTGATTTTGTGTCAAACTACACTACTGAAGTTGGTTATTTAATCTAGAAGTCTTTTGGTGGAGTTTTTGGGGTCTCCTATGTAGAGAATCATGTTCATCTGCAAATAATAATTATTTAACTTCTTCCTTTCCTATCCCTTGCTCCTTTTATTTCTTTTTCTTATCTAATTGCTCTGGCTAATGTTTGCAGACTATATTGAATAGAAGTGGTGATAGTGAACATCTTGTTCCTGATTTTAGAGTGAAAGCTTTTAATTTTTTACCATTTAGTATGATGCTTGCTGTTGGTTTGTCATAAATGGCTATAATCAGATTGAGGTAAAGACCACTGATTCCAATTTTCTGGAGCATTTTTATTATGAATGGGTGTTGGATTTTACCAAAAAATTTTTTCTACTTCTATTGGATGATCATGTGATTTTTGTCTTTGGCTCTGTTAAGGTGGTATAGTCCATTTATTGATTTGTGTATGTTGGACCATCCCTGCATCCCTGGGATGAATTCTACTTGGTCATGGTGAATAGTCTTCTTGATGATTTGCTGCATTCTGTTTGCCAGTGTCCTACTGATTTTTGCATCTATGTTCATTAAGGAGATTGGCCTATAGCTTTCTTTCTTAGTTGGGCCTTTCTCTGTTTTTGGTATCAGGGTAATACTTGCCTCCAGGAATCATTTTGGAAGTATTACTTCCCTTTCAATTTCATGAAAGAGTTTCCACATAAGCAGCATTAGATCTTCTCTAAATTTCTTATAGAATTCAGCAGTGAATCCATCAGGACCTGTGATTTTCTTGTTTGTAAAGTTTTAATTACATTTTCAGTTTCATTGACTGATATTGGGTTATTTAGAATTTTTTTTATCTTCTTGACTCAATTTTGGCATTTCATCTGTGTCAGGAGTCTGTCCATTTCTTCTACATTTTCCATCTTACAGAATACAGGTTCTCAAAGTATGTAATGATGATCTGATTTCTGTGGGATCTGTGGTGACTTCACCCTTTTCATTCTTAATTATGTGAATTTGAGTCTTTCCTTTTTTTGATAAGGTTGGCTAAGGGTTGACCAATTTTATTTAATCTTTCAAAGAACCAACTTTTCAGTTCATTGATTCTTTGTCCAGTTTTCTTAGTCTCAATTACATCAATCTCTGCTCTTTCTCATTTCCCCTCTCCTATGAGGTTTGGGTTTGATTTGTTCTTTTTCTGGAATTTTAAAGTTCAACATTAAGTTATTTATTTGCATTCACTCTGTTTTCCTTATGTGAGAATTCATGTCTGTAAATTTTCCTGGTAGGGCTCCTTTCATTGCATGCCATAAATTCTGATATGTTGTATTGGCATTATTGTTTAATTGTAGATATTGTTTAATTTTTCTTTAATTTCCTCTGGGACCCATTGGTTGTTCAGGAGGGTGTTGTTTAATTTCCATGTGTTTATGTAGTTTTTGAGTTTTCTTTTGCCATTGATTTCCATTTTCATTGCACTATGCTCTGATAATATGCATGAGATAATTTCAGTTTCTTTACATTTACTTACATGTGTTCTAGGGACTAGCATATGGTCTATTTTGGAGAACATCCCATGTGCAGCTGAGAAGAATGTGTATTCTGATGTTGTGGGGTGGCACACTGTATAGACATCTACTAAGTCCATTTTTCACAAGTTTGGTTTAGTTCTGATATTTCTTTGTTGATTTTTTTTGTCTGGTTGATGTATCTAATTGTGACAGTGGCATATAAGGTCCTATATTACAACTGTGTTAGTACTTATTTGATTTTTCATGTTCATTAATATTTGCTTTGTGTAGTTGGATGCACCAGAGTTTGGTGCATATATATTCACAAATGCTACCTCTTCTTCTTGGAGTTTTCCCTTAACAACTATGTAGTGATCTTTTCTTTCTCTCTTGATCAGTTTTGGCTTGAAGTTCACATTGTCTGCAAATAGAATAGCTTTCCCTGCTCTTTTCTGGGTTCCTGTGGTACAGCATATTGTTTCCCATCCTTTGACTTTCAGTCTGTGAATTTCTTTTTTAGTTAAATGTGTTTCTTGTATACAGCATACTGCTGGATCTTTCTTATTGATCCATTCTGCCAATCTGCTTCTTTTGATATTGATGATAATAATGGATAAGAATTAGTTTATCTGTCTCATATTATTTTCCTGTTTTTGGTTTCCTGTCTTCCTCCTCTGTTTGTTTGCCTTGCCTGGTAGCTTCTTTCTATTTGTGTTCTTATGCTTGTAGTCTTCATTTTCTCATTCTAATCTATACTTAAGAGAATTTTGGAGAGCTAGTTTGGCATTCATGAATTTCTTTAGTTGTTCTCTGTCATGGAAGGATCTTATTTCTACATTGACTTTTTGCAGGGTACATCAAACTGTTTTGGAGGTTATTTTCTTTTAGGTCTTGAAATATCTCACTTAAGCTTTCTTCGATTTAAGGGTTTGTGTTGAGAAGTATGTTGTGATTCTGATGGGCTTTCCCTTATAGGTGATTTATTTCTTTTTTCTAACAGCTTTTAATATTCTGTTCTTGTAGTGGATTTTTTGAATCTTGATTAGTATATGCCTTGGTTGCAGATATATTTTCTTCATGGCTATTTGGAGTTCTATATGTTTCACTTATTTGTATGC